TGGGAATTCTTTAAATAAAGTTTAGAAAAAACATTTTAGAAAGTAAGTTTTGCCGGATAAAATAAAAGAAGTTGACATTTTGACACAGTTGACCAGGCGTCTCCAAACTACGGCCCGTAGGCCACATGCAGCCCCCTGAGGCCATTTATCCAGCTCCCCGCTGCACTTCAGGAAGGGGCACCTCTTTCGTTGGTGGTCAGTGAGAGGAGCACAGTATGTGGCGGCCCTCCAAAGGTCTGAGGGACAGTGAACTGGCCCCCTGTGTAAAAAGTTTGGGGACGCCTGCAGTTGATGCTGAAAGACTCTCTCTCTTTTCCCTATTCTTAAATTTCACAAAACTAGTTAAACTTTAATTTCAGATAATTGATTAATAATATTTTAGTATAACTATGTCCCAAATAGGACATAGTTACACTAGATGCTGTTTTTTGATGTGAAATTCAAATTTAATTGGGTACCCTATTTTTATTTGAAAAATCTGCCAATCTTAGTATGATTCAAAAGGTTGTGAGAAGGCCTGGTAATCAAACTCAATGATCTGGTCATTCATTTGATGATGGAGTGTTTTGATGAGAGAATATTACCATGTTTACTTGGAGGTAAGAAGTAAAGGCCCCAAGGAAGCATTTTCTAGAACACAGGGAGAACCTTTTAGGAAGTCTCTAATACATTTAAGTGACTGGTAGAGATACACTTATTTACAATCTTACTAGGTTGTAAAGTGATTTGATCAAGAAAAATAAGGGAAATAAAAATGAACTTTAGAAAAGAGAAAATCCAAACTACAGAAAGCATCTAACGCTCAGCAGACTAGAACTGCAGTGTCTTGTGTATTCAAGGAAACAAAATGGGGTGTTATCCCCTCTGAGAGGGATCATTGAGTTGGCTTTATCAAGTGCGAACGAGGCAGGGCTGCACTGTTTCTTACGCCTTTGATAGACAGTGGGCCCTTGTGTTCTGACTCCTGTTTTTATTGGAGCTGCAGAAACATTACAAAACCCCAACAGCAAACACTCAGCTGAGAATGTGAGGTCATAGTAGAGTGACCTCACAGGGAGCCAGGTTCTTAGAAGGCTGTGAGGCTCAGCAGACACCGAACTTGTGAGCTGAGGAATACCGGGCTACTGGACGGGGCTTAGGAGAGGAAATGTGGCCCAGGCGCACTCCAGGGTTTGTGATGGGCTCTTCTTGGTGTCTGTATTGTTTCTGGTAAGTTTGTATTGCCAGCATATTGTCAAGCTTTCTGATTTAAAAGGAGTGATTTTGGTTCTTGTTCAAATAATCTCATAAGTCATGAAATGGGTAGAATGAAGCCATCTAGGAACAGGGATATTTATCCTTTATTCTTTATTTTCTTCTTTTACTGAAGACTTTTTGAAGAAGATCCGGAAAGTCTGATCCACACAGATTTTGCAATTATATCATTTTGGTGAATGTGAGGGAAATTAGGTGAAATCCCCTGGGCTGGGCAACATAGTAGAAAAGGCAAATATGGAGAATGAGTAACATGAGGAATGGAATGATTCTGAGCAGTAATTTTTTTAAAATATGTTCTAATTAGAATAAGGATCTTGTATTTGAACAAAATTGGGCCAGTACTATATATGTGGTATAATTATATTGTTTGCACAGAATAATTAAATAAATGCCATGAATTTTTCCTGAGAAGTGAGCAGTAAGTAGTTTGAGGAGAAAATCTTATCTTCAACATGTGTTTTTAATACATGATTGGAAAAGCATGCATGGAAATACAACTCCAAGGGTTTTGTGTGTATTTAGAAAAAGTCCTTGATTGTAATTAATATAGTTCTTAGAATAAATATTTTACATTTCTATCACTTATATGGGAAATCACAAAGTAATCATGAATGGCCTAAATTTCTACTGTGCATTTTCTTATTATAGGTTATACTGTCAATAATGATTAAATATTCATATTCAATTTCCTGATGGAATAAATTTCACAAAACTGGTAATGTTAAGTATATATATATATATATATATATATATATATGGGGGGGGGGTCCTCACAATGTTGTCCAGGTAGGCCTCAAACTCGTGTGCTAAAGCAGACCTCCTGCTTTGGCCTCCCAATGTGCAGGGATTACAGGTGAGAGCCACCACGCCCATCCACGTAACATTAAGTCTAAAAAGGAAGATGTAGGATGAAAAAATCATGCATTTAAAAATTCATTTTCAAGGAGATTTTATCGTAATGACACTATTTTAACTGGTGGATATTTCTGTTGGGAAACTGTTTAGGGTGTTTAGGGTTACCATATGTCTTCGTTTGCCTGGGTCAGTTCTGCCATTGACATTGACCGTGGTTTGGTGTTTGACTTAGAGTTTTAATTAGTGAACTATTATCATTAATAGCTGTGATCAAATAAGCCAGCATGGGTTTGGTAGATCTAACTTTATATTCCCAGCTTCTCCAATGGTATCATCTGGGAATATTTGAGTTGGCATTTTGACACAGTTGATGCTAAAAGACTCTCTCTTTTCACTATCCCTAGAGCTTCATTTCAAGGACAGTATGTTGGGTACTTGCTGATAGAGTGTGCTTGCAGGAGAGTTGCTAGGGACAGTTAACTCCTTCTAATCCTGTGGTAGTTGAGGGGAGTATGAGACTCTGCAGCTACTTGTTATACCAGCTGGTTGTGCAAGAGCCCTGGCTGCATTCTCAGTGACCCTGGCACAAGACCAGTGTTTCCTTGGAAGAGCAGTGAGAAAAGGGAACTTGTAAATGAGATAGAATAAGTGACAAGATTGAACAGTTCTGCCTGGAAATGCATTTATTTTTGCTGCAATGGTTTTTGTCATTTCATGATAGTAGTTTACAACTTACTTTTTAGGTTCGGATTTTAAAAAATATAACACCTTTGAAATAATTGAAGTACTGTAACACTTAGCTTGTTAAAGTATAAAATCCAGTGGTTTGGACATATTCAGAGTTGCTTAGTCATTACCACTGTCTTAAGGATGCTTGCATCACCCCAAAAAGAAATAGTACCCATTAACAGTACTACTTTTTTATTGATAATGCTTTCTTTTTTTATTTTGCAATAATTATGAAAGCATATTTAAGGATTTTATTATCTGTTTCCCCTTTAGAGTGTCCCGGTTTAGACAATAAATGGTTACTCTGCTTAACACAAGCCAAGTTAAAGAACTTTGGGATAAAGGAATGGCATATAAACGCCCATCCATGGGCCCGATTCAGCCCAGCCTGGAATGGGTCTTAGGTTTTTTAAGTTTGTAACAAAACAACAACAATAAAGCAGCTTGTGTGACAGGGCCATATGTGGCCTGCAAACATATGATGTTTATGATTTGGTTCATTATAGAAAAATTCTGACCACCCTTGATTTTAGTGTCTGTGTTAAGTGTGTTTAAAGGCCATTTAAGTATGGTCTATCATGAGCATGTCTTACCAAGTTAAGATAAAGATTTGGAAATTAATGTATCCTCATTAGTTTCAGTATTGTAAATACATGAAAACTCTCGATCACTGACCACAGGCTGTAGTCTTTAAGCCCTTACTAAGGCAGAGTTCTCAACATGTGGCCTATGGAGCTCTCTTCCTTCAGTAGGTTTTTAGCATCAAAATTATTTTGCACTAATTATTATAATGTTTTTCTTTTTTACTGGGTTGATAACATATGGTACAAAAACAATAGTGGGGGTCTTAGCAGAACTTCAGGCAGTGGCACCAAACTCTTCTAGTCATTGTATTCTCCGCTGTAATGCACTCAAATGAAAATCAAGGCCAGTTTCACCATTAAAAAAACCCTTCATGAAACCAGTACAATTTGTTTATTTCATTTCAGTGCTTAAGTTCATGTTTTTAAAATTTTGTGTGTCATGAAATGAGAATAAGGCACTAATGTTCCTGACAGTCTCTAGGAAAAACATTCATATGTCATTTAAATTGGGGCTAAAAACGAGGCACATTTTTATTGAATGTCATTTTTACTTGAGGGAATGACTAACAAACTATGGTTATTGGCAGATGTTTTTTAGAAAATGGAATAAGCCTATTACTTTAAGGAAAACAGCTGATAATATTCACAACAAATGATTACATGTGAGCTTTTGAACAAAGATTAGAATTTTGGAAAACTTTTATCTGCCACTGAAGGTTTGGCAGCTTCCTAGTACTTAGACTTCTCATTAGTAGTGACATGAGCGAATGTGATTTTTTTAAAGGTTATATAATTAAATGTGTCAACACATGTTTTACAGATAACCAACGTGTGTGGTTACAGAATCATGTATGGGTTAAAAGATCCATTCAAAGTATAACATAGATTTTAACATAAGAGTACAAAAAGTTAATCAACACAAATTTAGATTTCATATTTCAAGTAAGAATATCTTTTAAGAAATTACCACTTGTCTCATTTTGGTATTGCATGAAAAAATATCCACAATTATCTGAAAATATTAAAATATTTCTTTTTTCTAACAAAATACCTGAGTGAAGGCAGATTTTCTAAATATGCTTCAACCAAAATAATATACTGTTACTCATTGAATAGAGAAATGGCTCTTAGAATACAACTGTCTTCTAGTAAGCCAAACATTAAAGAAATCTGTGTTTAAATAAAAGTGAAACACTTTTATTTGTCTCACTAAATTTTATGTTCTTTTGGAAAACATAGTTCTATATACTACTTGTTATATAAAACAGATTATTTTTAAGTGAGTTAATACTTAACATGTTTCTGTTTTTATTACTACTGTGTTAAAAATGAATTGATAGAACTCACGTAAGTGGAATGTCAAGGTCTAGAGACCAAAGTGTTTGGAAACTTCATGCCTAAGATTTGGGCAATCTCTTCTTTAGTTCTTTGAAATATGTTAACTGAAAACATTTTTATGAATATCTAAACATAAAATGGTCTATCTAAAAGAAAAAGTATCAAAATTTCATCAGATATTTTCCTTTTTGCCATATAAGAAAAACCTATTTTCTCTCTCTCTATCAATTATCATAGCAATGCTGGGGTGAAAACAGAACGGCTAGAAGCTCATTCTGAAATGGGGAGCACTGAAATTTTGGAAAAGGAGACTTCAGAAAATCTCAGTAATGGTACCAGCAGCAATGTGGAAGCAGCCAAAAGGTTGGCCAAACGCCTTTATCAGCTGGACAGATTCAAAAGATCAGATGTTGCAAAACACCTTGGCAAGAAGTATGTTCTGACCCATTGCTGGGGTCTGAATTCTTTCCTGTTTTGTGTATGTTTTAAATAGTTTACATTTCAATAACCAAGTCTATTTTGTTTTCTTATAGCAACGAATTTAGCAAACTAGTTGCAGAAGAATATCTGAAGTTTTTTGATTTTACAGGAATGACGCTGGATCAGTCACTCAGGTATGATTAAGCATCATTGCTGCTCTTCATTGCCTTCAAATGATTGGTTCTTAGAGGAGAAAGTAATGCCTTCTAACTAGAATCCTATTTTTTAAAAAACATCCAGTTACAGGTAGAATATTCCTTCTCCAAAATTCTTGGGACCAGAAGTGTTTTAGATTTTGGATTTTTTCCCATTTTAGGGATGTTTCACATCATAGGGACGTTTCTATGTATCCAGTTGAACATCCCAAGTCTGAAATCCTGAAATGCTTCAGGGAGCATTTCCTTGGAGCCTTATTTCAGCACTGGAAAGTATTGAAGATTTTAGAGCATTTCTGATTTTGGAGCATTTTGGATTTCAGATTTTCAGGCTTGGGATGTTTAACCTGTACTTTGTGAACTTAACTGAAATTGTATTATGGATCTTCAACACAGCAAAGAGTAAGAAAAATGTATTGATTTTACGAAATTAACATGAACCGATACTCTGCACCTAATGGTAAGCCCAAGTTCAGATGGTAAGGAACTGGTATCAGAGCAAATGTGGAGGAAAAACGCAATCTGTAAGAGTTTTTCTGTTTTTCATTTTTAAAAAAATTGTGGTAGAATACAGATAGCATAAAATCCATCATCTTAGCCATTTTTAGGCATACAGTTAATGGCATTAAAAATATATGTAATATTTTGCAACCATTACCACCATCCATCTCCATGATTCTTTTCTTAAATTAAGCAATGATCTTTTTTTCCTTCCCCTCCTTTCCTCCACCCACAGGCAAACACTATTCTACTTTTCTTTCTGATGATTTTGACTACTCTAATGTAAAGGGACAGATACATTATTTGCTTTTTTGTGACTCATTTCACTCAGCATAATATCTTCAAAGTTCATTCCTGTAGCATATGTCAGAATTTCTTTCCTTTGTAGTAATACTCCACTATGGGGAATATATATACCACCATTTGCTTCATTTGTGTTGCTTCCATGCTTTTGCTATTGTGAATAATGCTGCTGTGAACATGAGTGTACAAATATTTCTTCAAGACTCTGTTTTCAATTTTTTAGAGTAGGGAATTTAGTTTTTTATGATCAGTTTAAAACACACACACACACACACACACAGAGAGAGAGAGAGAAAGAGAGAGAGAGAGAGAATTTACAGACTGTAGTATTAAATTTTCTTCCTAAGCATTTTCTTACTATAGCCCAATAGCCTCTTTTTTTGTAGACAGAGTCTCGCTCTGTCACCCAGGCTGAAGTACAGTAGCACCTTCTTGGCTCACTGGAATCTCTGCTTCCCAGGTTCAAGCAATTCTCCTGAATCGGCTTCCCAAGTAGTTGGGACTACAGGCACGCACCACCATGCCTGGCTAACTTATTTGTATTTTTAGCAAAGATGGGGTTTTGCCATATTGCCTAGGCTGGTCGTGAACTCCCAAGCTCAGGCAGTCCAGCTGCCTTGGCCTCCTGAAGTGTTAGGATTACAGGCATGAGCCACTGCACCCAGCCCCAGTAGCCTTTTCAGGTGATACTTTAAAATTAACTCTTCAGTGGAATAAAAATGAATGTCAACATAATTAATAGAAAGTATCTGTAAAACTGTTTCCAACAATATCCACTTTTTCTTACCTTTTCAAATGAAGGTGTCTAAAACTCACTGATTCTCACTTTTTACATTATATTGTATTACAACCTTCTAAGAGTAGCTGAAGGTAAAACAGTCAGCATTTAATCTTATATACTATTTATAAAATGTCAGTCTCTGGAAGAATTCTGAGATTATCTAGTATTACCCTTTAATTTTACAAATCAAGAAACTGAGGCCTGGGAGGTGAAGTGAGGATGTTTGGACTAGAGAGTAGTGTAGTACTACAGTGATTTGTTGTGGGGCTCTTTTCATGCATCAAAGGTACCCGGGTTTTCTAACAAAAACAGTTAACGGTGGATGAAAAACTTGTATTTTTGCCTTGCATTCTGATGTGGTTTATTTAAAAGTTATAAAAATTTAAAGTTTTGTCACCATATAGTTTGTTAACCTTAATTATATCTATAGTAAGAAAAGGCCAAATTTTCATAATAATGAGGCTTATGGTATATTTCTTACAGGTAGTAAGATTTCTTAGATATTTTGAATGCTTTTTCCTTCCTATCTCATGTTTAGGAAAACGAATCTACATTGTCAAGTGAGGGTCACCCGGATTAATCTCAAATAAATAGTGCCCTTAGTGACTGGCTAGATTAGTGTGTGGTTTTTTAGCACAGTTACTGTAATTTAAAGATGTTTTTATACATAAACTAGTTCTGTTATTTAAGGAATAAATTAGTTATATCTCCCAATTTCTGTCTCTTATAACAAACTTTTATTAAAACATGATAATGAGCCGGGCACGGTGGCTCACGCCTGTAATCCCAGCACTTTGGGAGGCGGAGGTGGGTGGATCAGAAGGTCAAGAGATCGAGACCATCCTGGTCAACATGGTAAAACCCCCTCTCTACTAAAAATACAAAAAATTAGCCGGGCATGGTGGCACGTGCCTGTAATCCCAACTACTCAGGAGGCTGAGGCAGGAAAATTGCCTGAACCCAGGTGGCGGAGGTTGCGGTGAGCCGAGATCGTGCCATTGCACTCCAGCCTGGGTAACAAGAGCGAAACTCCATCTCATTAAAAAAACAAACAAACAAAACAAAACAAAACAAAACAAAACAAAAAAACAAAAAAAAAAGTGATAATGGACAAAATTAACAGAATCTCCTGTGCACAAAGCAATGTAAGTTAATAGTAGCTTAATAGAGATGACAGTCGTGTAACAAAATGGCAGAAGCACCGTGATGGGTGACAAGTTTTAAAATACAGCCTTTATGATGATGCATTGAGTCTTAAGTGGTCTCTTTTTTAATCTGACCTTTTAAAATTGACTACTTGACACTTCATCATAATGAGGATATTACCTACCTTCCCAAGGCTTTCTTGATGTGTTGACCACTCTGTTATTACTCTGTCATCTTTTAAGTTGACACTTGTGTGTGTGTGTGGTTTTTGTTTTTTGTTTTGTTTTGTTTTGTTTTGTTTTGTTTTGTTTTGAGATGGAGTCTCACTCTGTTGCCCAGGCTGGAGTGCAGTGGTGTGATCTCCACTCACTGCAACCTCCACCTCTCAGGTTCAAGCCTCAGCTTCCCAAGTAGCTGGGATTACAGGTGCCTGCCACCACACTCAGCTAATTTTTGTATTTTCAGTAGAGATGGGGTTTTGCCATGTTAGCCAGGCTGATTTTGAACTCCTGACCTCAGGTGATCCACCTGCCTCAGCTTCCCAAAATTCTATCGAATTTAAACACTAATATAACTTTATATTGAATGGCTATCTAGTAAGTGATTTGGGGGTAATAACTTTATAATATCTTACCCTGTATAATTAATATCTTAGATTTACATAAATTAACTTTTAACTATCAAAGAGGGTGGTAGCATTTTCTAAAATTTTACTTTTTAAATTTTTAATTCTCTTTTAGGTATTTCTTTAAAGCATTTTCTCTTGTGGGAGAAACTCAAGAACGAGAGAGAGTTTTAATACACTTTTCCAATAGATATTTTTATTGTAACCCAGATGCCATCGCTTCACAAGGTAATCTGATATAAATTCTTGAATTGCTCTTTTAGAACAGTGGTTATTTTCCTTATTATAAAAGTTAAATTTTATTGTGAGAAATTAAGTATCTTCAATTCTCTGGTGATAACTATTAACACTTTGATTTACTTCCTTCTAGTCTATTTATTTAATATTTAGTGTCAAATTGGAATTCGAGTTTCATTTTTAGCTGCTTTTTTGTTTTATTGTCAGAATTTTCTCATGTCGTTAAATAGTCTTTTTTTTTTTTGAGACGGAGTTTTGCTCTTGTTGCCCAGGCTGGAGTGCAATGGCGCGATCTCGGCTCACCGCAACCTCCGCTTCCTGGGTTCGGGCAATTCTCCTGCCTCAGCCTCCTGAGTAGCTGCGGTTACAGACACGCACCACCATGCCCAGCTAATTTTTTGTATTTTTAGTAGAGACGGGGTTTCACCATGTTGACCAGGATGGTCTCGATCCCTTGACCTCGTGATCCACCCGCCTCGGCCTCCCAAAATGCTGGGATAACAGGCTTGAGCCACTGCGCCCGGCCTAAATAGTCTTTAAAAGCATAATATTTAAGGACGGCATGATATCCTTTACTCTTATTTAAATTATTTTGTTTTCCAATTCTCTAGCATGACAGCATACTTTCTTTAAATTTTTCGTGTTTTGTCACTCTGAGATTTTATGTAATTAATGAAATTTCAGTTTTCTTATTTTTTATACTTATTTTTTATATTTGGTCTCTACATTTCTTGATGAAAGCTCATGTATCCTGAGTTTTGGGGTTAGTTTTGGAAACATAACATCTCACTGGTAGTTGTGCTGTGTCTCTGGTACTTTTGTTTTGATATTAACTGTAACAATATTTTTGTTGATTTTAATAAGCTATGAGTTTATGTGTATTATATCATTTTTACAATGTAAATGATTTTAATGTAAACTATTTATTTGTGGACCTACCCTGTGAAGAGAGAGCTTTCATCCATTTCAGTTCCTTCAATAAAGCACAGTTTTCAATGTTTGAAGTCAAGCACTTTGATTTGCATTTGGAAAATTATTCATAAACTTACAGATTATGGAGTAATTCACTGAGACTAGATGCACAAGAAATAGTAATTACCTCTTAGCTTCAGTATTGCTGATTAACCTGAATAAGTGTACTTGGTATTGGCCAAGGTGCTTGCCTGTACCTTCCCTTAATCCCCCAAGCTGTAGTCACAGTTAATTCATCATCTGATTAAGGTCATATTCCTATCTGTATATCGATGCTATTGGGACCAGTTATTCACTATCTCTCTCACCATTACCGCTAACAAGAGAATGAAAGAGATAGAAGTAGGCCGTTTTTATTAGAACCTTCTTCAAATCTAAGCAGATGTTTTTATCCCTGGATAAAATAAAAAATATGGATTCATGTACTCAATTGACTGTTGATAATGATATTCGAGAGTTGGCTGCTAAGTTTTTAAAATACTTTTAGGAATTTGTTTTGAGTATATGTAGAATTTGTGATAATAAAATGGTACTAGAAAAAATATTATTTTAGTCATTTAGTAGCATCTACTTGGAGACACTGATAATGAAAATCACCTGTTATACTATACAATTTACTTTAAAAATACCCTGCCTTTAATTTATGAATGCAGTAATTAGACTTTCCAATTCAGCATAAATTGATAAAATTTTTACAGCATCTGCTGTAAAATTGCTCTTGTCTACTGTACCTGTATAAAGAATTAGTGGAGTGAGAGTAAGGAGAATGACTAATTCTAATGTTTGGAAATCAGAATCGTATCTCTTCTTGGACAACCTTTTTACATGATTTCAACCTAACAGAAATGTGTCTTTGGAAGATCACATTTATTTGTCTCCTGTTGTAAGCAGTGCTTGTCGGAATATCCTTGTACTTTGTATAGATCCTTAATTACTGCCTTGGTGCAAATCCCTAGAAGTTGATTTGTTGTGTCAAAAGACACTGTTTCAGGACTTTACATGTATACTATCAAATTGTCCTCCAGAGAGGTAAGAACAACTTACCAATAGTGGAGTCTAATTCTGTGCACTGAGGTTCTTTTTATAAATTATTATCATCCACTTTTTTGTTTCTCAAAACAAATATGACTAATTGTGCCTAGCACGGTACTGTTGTCATAGGTTCTGAATGTATCCTATTAAGGATAATAAGGTGGAGTCCAAAATAAAAAGTGAATTCATGCTTTGTTTTCTTGTGTCTTTCTTTAGATGGAGTCCATTGCCTTACCTGTGCAATAATGCTTCTTAATACAGATCTACATGGCCATGTAAGTGTAGATTTGTGAAACTTAGATCCCAAATATCTCGGGTTTGTCTTTGCTTTTGTATTAATACACGTTTATTTTTTGTCTCCCTGTTTCTCATTCTCTACATGGTTCCCATGACAGGTGAATAAAAAGAAATATTTGAAAAAAGAAATGATTTTTAAATTGCACTTGCTAGCACAGAGATTGATTTTAAATGCATTTTCTTGGTGCCTGGAGTTGGTTTAGCAGTAATTGTGTATGTTCTGTATCTTCTTTGTCCAGTAGATGGCAGGCAGAGCTTTTGCTTGTTTGTGTTTTTTGGTTGAGAATTACATTTGATATATAATGATGGAGAGAATATAAGTTAGCTCTGAAAATGTGAATTGTTTTCACTACATACAGTAGTGAGTGGAATAACTCAGCCTTTTTTGGCTCCTCAGCTCACCTAGTCTTTAACTAGTTGAAATATTAAAATAACCTAATTACCTTCTCATCATCTACTTAAGATAGAGGAGAAAATTTTAAATTTTATAATTATATATAAACTTTCAACTTTTGTAGAAGTAGAATTTTAGCATTTACTCAAACTCTTCATAATAGATACAATTAGAATATTTTCATTAAATGTAGATTAATCTATATTTACTTAGAGCAAAAATTACTTCATAGTCCCAGTTTCCTTTATTTTGAAGAGAAAAATGTGTGTCTGCGTAGAGCATATTATCCTGTGATTTGCCATAATATATCTTACAATTTAAAAATTAGTTTAAAGAGTTGATACTTAGGTATTTGTTCAGCTAATCACATAATTCCCTTTTTGGGAAAATGTAGTGCTCCCTTTTAAGAAAGGCACAATAGAGCTCTATGGGACCATTAAGTTGGACTGGCTGTTATAAGAGGAAGGGGTTCAGGGGAAAAAGGGTTCCACCACCAGAAAGTAAAGAGGAGAGATAGTGACAGAATCCTAATTTTAACACCATGTTAACACATCTCAAAATGCTCAATTAGAAAGTTCCTTTTGCCATGTAGAAGAGGTGAATTTAGAATCACTTAGTGGCTTGTCAACATATGTACCATGTGTCCAGAAATCATACAGATTAAAAGAACGTAGATATTTTCAGGAAGCATTCTTGGGCAACAGCACAGCTAATACACTGTGTGGAAATGCAGGCATTTCACAGTGTGAACCTAGACATGAGTACCACAGTCTAACATCATCCGGCTTGTTAAGGGGATGGCCAGTCAGTGGATTGTACTCACCACGCTTTTCCTGTTACTGACCAAGCAAGTTTTCACTGCTTCATCAGCCCATTTGGTGGTAGCAGTTGCATTCAGCACCTATCTTTTCCTTAACCTTTCTGGCCAAAGGAGATAATTTCGAGCATGTTTGGCCACATGTAACATCCAAGTCAGTGATCATCAGCATGAGGAATTCTCTTCACATCAGATATTTTGAGGTTCCATCAACATATAAGAGTTGTACATTTAGCATGTGTTAACTGAGAAAATGTTTAATGATGAGAGGAAAACAATTCGGTAATACTGCAATTTCTTTTTAAAGGTTGCAGATCTCTTAGAGCGTTTGTCAGATTTTTGGTGATTTATTTCTACTAAATCCTAGATTGCATTTTTGAAAAGCTAATATCGCTTTAATACTTTTACATAAGCATGTATCTTAATCATAATAACTTGAAATGTAGTAACCAATGAAGGTGTTATTTTTTATTCCGCTATCTCAGCATGCTTAATGTCCAGATAAGCTGTGGACACCCTAGTGTCAGTAGCTATTGGTTCAGAGCCACAAATCTAGGGCATTTGCCCTTCTTCAGACTTACAAGAAATTATAAGGAGATTAGATGGAGCATCATGCTTCTTCTTGGTGACTGGGATGGAAGAGAGTTTATGTAAATTAACATTTTAATACTAGCTTGAGTTAGGCCATTACAGATAATTAACAATTGACAATAGTAGCAAAATTTTCTCCTACTGATAGGGGAGGGAGAAAATTATCAATAACAGTGAATCTCTGTCATATTCAGGATCATGTTTTTGGTCATAAGTAGTTCTCTGCTTTGTTTTAAAAAATGTGTGCGATATACTTGGGATTGTCTGTTTAGATTTTGTGTATTAGTTTTCTGTAATGCATGCTGTTAAAAGTGTGTTGAATGTATAGTAGCTATCATAAGAACTAACCATGTAAAAATGTGTTTCTTCTGTCTTTCTCCTCTGGATTCATTTTAAAAATAAACTTTTCTTCTAGGTGGTAAGTTTTTAATCCATAATTGCAGATGTAACTTCTCTTGCATCATGGTTGCCTGATTTTTCTGTTGCTATTGTTTTAGTATCTGACTTATCAGCATGGCCCCTATGAAAACTGAATCATGCAGATGATAAAATGAATTATTTCTACTGTTCTGCTCCTTTTCACCTTCTCCTTAATGCGCTGCTACCTAGACTGTCACCACCCATTACTTAAACCAATGCCAGAATAATCTTCTTGGGGAGTAAACTAATAAACCATTTTTCTTTTTTTTCCTTACCATTGTTGTCATAATAACAATACTTCAGCATGATCTTTCTAAGAAGTGCCAAGACCAGCTTGTCCTTATGTGCTTTATATAAGGGAAGGCTAACTCCCCTACTAGGAGATTAACTTGTTTTGGCTGTTCTTTGTGAACCTTTCCTTTACTCTAAGGAATGATGCACTGAAGATGCATTGATAAGGGCCTTGGTTTGGCCTGCTAATTTCCTTACTAATAAAATATGGTATATATACTAATATTATACTTACATATGACTAATGTGACATGTTGAAATGCCTTTTTCTAATTTTCACCTTTAACAAACACATATGGTGTGTGTGTGCCTCCTCCTTTCCATACTCAGTGCTATTTGGGTAAGGATGAGAAGTGAATGAGATAGTGTTCATGGAAGCCAAATATCCTCTCTGATGGTGTTGGCTAGGCTGTCCTCGTTAGTCAGGTTTGACGAAGACATGGTAGCAGATTGCTGAAGTGCTAAGATGGGAAAATACTGGCGAGGTGTTTTAATTTCATGATGGATTGTATTAAACCTCTCTAATTAGGCTAGGGGAAAAAGACAACCTGAAGTTTATACAATATTTGGGAAGAGAAATTCAGTAGCTGCTTTTAAGAAATGTGACTGATATATTATTTTCCTAGCAATAGTATCAACTTGCTTTTACTTGTCTACAAGTAGTTTATTCTTAGATTATATATTTTATCATTGTAGTCATGTGGCAAATTTGCTGCATAATTTATTTTATTTTTGAAATGCCTCTTTATCTACAAAATATATTTATAAATTAAACTTCTATACATACTGATACATTTCTCTTAAACTCTAGAGTTTATCTTTCTTTGCTATAATGGAACTAAGTTGTATCGAATATTGTTTGAACTATCAGAAAGGAAGGAGTTGAAGTCTTTTGCTTAAACCTTGTTAGAAATGGTATGAATAATATTTAACATGTTAGAGTTTTCTGGACAGATCTTCAAATGTGTTCTATACGCTACAACTAACTAGCTCACTTGTACTTCAGTCATAGATAAGTCAGGTTCCAACCATCCTGGCAGGATTATCACCCAGGGCTGGTGTTCTAAGGTGGTAGGACGGTTAAGTATAGAATTACAGAGCAGTGAGGAGTGAGGTAGATTGGAGCATAGTCATTTGGCCAGTTTTACAACTAGAAAGTCATAAGAGATCTACAAGTCAGCGTCTGGCCAAGGTCAGGCTGTGGTAAGAAGCAGTAGTAGCCAGGGTATTATTATTTATAAAAAGATTTTTTTTCCACAAAATCTGCCTTTCAACATCAAGGCTTGAGATTTTCAGTTGCAATTTTATCCAATATCCCTCTGTTCTTCAGTATTGGCGGGAGCCAGCCTACCAGGTACAATTGTATAAGAGCCTGGGTGTGGTTCTTAGAAGTGGCTCTATCTCAGACTGACCTCCCACATATACTTTGCCCTTGGCATACTCAGAGCATGTTAAGTATCATGTCCTGTGGTCTGAGTTTAATATATGAGGCAGGACCTTGCTAACATTTTTAGTGTTGGGTAATAAGTTTGATAAAGGCTAAAACCATAGCTAGTACATCATACTGGTAGGGAGAAGAAAAAAATCAAAGAAGAAAGTATGTATAGGTTTTGTAACAGAATAGTGTTTTCAAAAAAATATATAGAGTCAGTTTGAGATAGATTATCGGAATTCACTATTTCTTTTCCAATCTGTAAACAGAATCTTAAATACTAGATAAATATTTGGTTTGTTATCAGTAGTGGAAAATGACTTATAAAAATTGTTTTAAAAATTTAATGCTTTTAATCCTTCATATTGTGCTGTTTTATATTTTGACTCTCAAAAGCATCACAGACCTCCATAAAATTGACGAACTTCATTGAGTTAATATCCTCAAGAACTCCCTGCATCTGTAATGATCACTATTGTAACTGGCAGCTGCCTTAAGTACATTTGCATGCTGTACTCTCATCCTCCTGCAGGATATCTTCCCCGTAAATACCTCTTCTGTCTGTGCTTCCCTGTATCTGTGATGCCCTTTGCCATTAAAGTTATCCTTGTCATTCAGTTTTCTCTCTGAGCTTTCCCCTGTTGTAGATTCCAGCTATGGTCATAATTTCTATTATGCCAGCAGTGCCTCCTCCCTTGGAGTCATCTTTCCCACCTCCTTGGCGTCATATCTGTCTTGTCTTTTCTGTTTTTTTTTTCCCCTGAATTATTACTTACAAAGACCTTTTTATTTCTAACATTTAAAATCAGATGTCCATGTGCAGGATGTGCAGGTTTGTCATAGGTAAACATATGACGATGTGGTTTGCTGCATAGGTCATTCCATCACCCAGGTATTAAGCCCAGCATCCATTAGCTATTCTTCCTGATATTCTCAGTCCTGCCACTCTCCACTCTCTGACAGGCCCTAGTGTGAGTTGTTCTGCCCCATGTGTCTATGTGTTCTCATCGTTCAGCTCCCACTAGTAAGTGAG